TGAATGAAAAATGGACCATTGTTCAAGGTGTTCGTATAATTATGAACCGCTAAAAATTCGCATTAGACTGAAAAACACCCCTAGGATTGACATCCATTTCCATTCTTATGGATCATATACCATTTGCGGCTGTGTTCTATCGCGTGCTACCAACGGCTTGTCCAAAAACTTACAAAATTTTGGGTGTTCGTATAATCATGAACCGCACTTTATATGTACTTATAAATGTATACATAATTTAATATAGTTTCTATTTCTCGAAACATGGGCGGGGCTTAGCTTCGCGCTGTATCCTAAAGAGCATCTGGAATCAGCGAGCGCGCTATGCCTAATTGTACCTCGCAGACACACCCATGAGGTGCGAGAATATCTCGGGTAGGTATGTTCCGTTCCCCTTCCTTCACTGATCACATTCGGAGCCGGTGGGCTGCAGGGACAGCATAGACATGCAAATGTGAAAATTCGTGAAAAATCGTCCTGCAAGGTAAATGTTGAAGTTATGAATTTTTGGAGATGTGCGGACAAACTTTCGGTTCAACCTAATATAAAGAAACGTAAGCGCAATTCAAAAATGTGCAAATAGCGGGAAACCGAGTTGCGGTCCCAGCGCGGATGCAACCTAGCACCTTTAATTACTGGTTCACTAATTGTAATTATGTTTGCTTTTTAATCTTGAATTGTAAAAAAGTGGTTTCAATTTGTAAAAGAATTTTGTGAAAGAAGTTTCTTTGTGTCAATAAGCTTGTCGTAATCGATTTTGTATTCCTTGATGTAAGTATTCGTAATCATTTCTATAGCATGAATCCATTTAATTACTTCTTTTTTGTTGGTGCTTTGACGTATTCGAAATTTAGTCCCTCTATTCATTATTGATTTCAAATGCTTATCTTTGATTGCATTCAATATCAAGTTTAGCAAGTATATAACTGTAGTTGAGAATTTTTTCGTGATATTGGCTCTCTATACGTATATACTAGTCTGCAAAGGTTGTATTCAACGTTACTTCTTTTCAGAATATTCTGCATATAGGTGCTGTTAATGTATTGAGATTAACTTGCTCTAATATGTTATGAATGTAGTCAGCTTTTACATTTATAAATTCAGTATTTGGTTTCCTTTTTTGTTATCATGAAACATGTGTTTTCACATAATACTCAATGTAATCATCTTTACAGGTTATTCCACAAACTGTAACATGTAAACACCTTCACAAGTTACTCCACAAACTCAAAAATCTAATTTCATACCGTATTTGATGTTGAATGGGGCTAATTTCCATGAGCTTTTTCTAGAAATCACTAAATCGTTTGCTATGAACAAACATAAAATCTGTATTCCAATCTATTACGCTCGAAAAGCCTACGAACAATCGAGCATACAGTGACCGCCAAAAAGTTGCGGACAATCCGCCTTCCCTTTTCATCTCTCAATTTCGGATAGGAAACAAAGATGAAAAAATGATTGGATTGCATGTGGTGATAGAGCTCACCACTACAACCCACACATTGCGTTTTTTGGAAAACATGTATTATAAAAATTTTAAAAAATCTTTTCCTAAAAAAAGTCCGAAAATGGCCGCGTCACAATGTCGCGGACAATAATTCTTTGAACGCGAAAATTTTGCTTTAGGTCTTTGTTTTGAGTAACAACAGAAATTTTCCGAACAAGTAAGCATACTATGTCATAGAGCTCATCGAGGACAATAATCGGGTAATGGTTCCTTCCAAAAAAAACCCAAGCTTGAATTTGTTTTGCTTTTTTTAAATATTTTTCAATTCCCTTCTTTAATCCAAATTTCCCTAACATGGAAACCTATTCAAGGCATTCCAACAAGGTTATTCGGATAAAATGGATGCCCTTTGCTATCCTCTATGCATTGGACGTGTGCAGGTGTGCTTCTTTACTGGAAATGGCTCTTGACAGTGCGTGCACATGACCCCACCTGCACCTCACCGCTGACTTGCACCGCTTTGCAGGCTTGTATCTCGGCCGGCAGTCACTCCTCGAGCCTGCAAGTAGGTTCGTTCGAAGGAGCGTGACTTCCTGGACACGAGGGTATGCAAAAGAGTTGGGTGTGTGAAACAGCAGAGATTTGGCGGATGGGGTGACAAAGCGCAGCTCTAGTGGTGGGCTAAGGATTCAGCTAAAGTTGAGCAAAACTTTTTTCGCCACCAGTTCCATCCTGGAAGTTCAAAACCGTCAGTTTTCTTGTAATAGATCCATTTCGGAGCTTTAAAGGCAGTGTCTCACCAAAATTTAGTTGCCGAAATTTTTGCATTTTGCAAGCCTGTCGGACCCTGTCTAGCACTGTATGGGCTTAAAATCGCACGAAGTTCCCAAAAACCCCGTTTTCTGGAGGCCCCGCGGAAGCAACGTGGACGAGTTGTACCTTCCAACTTCAGCCTCAGCCACAGTGGCAGCAACAGAGGGGAGGTGGATGCCAAGTGGAGGGACATGTTCAAACGCGTAAGGGGGGAGACTGAAGGAGTCGTCCGCTCGTACCAACTGGCTCTCCGCGTACCACTTTGAGCGAATTTTTCTCAGCGTAGAGGGGGTCAAATTGAGTGGGACTTGTTGCAATGGCCTATCTAGAGGTCCCTATAATAGAATATGTAAAGATCCCCGCGACCTCAACTTTGGTGAGACACTGCCTTTAAGACCGTTCGAGTGTTGATAAGACCCTTCACTCCATTCACCTCTAAGGCTGCGCTTTGTCACCCCATCCGCCAAATCTCTGCTGTTCAACATACCCAACTCTTTTGCATATCATCGTGCCCAGGAAGTCACGCTCTTTCGAATGAGCCTACTGACAGGCTCGCAGAATGACTGCCGGCCGAGTTACAAGCCTGCAAAGCGGTGCAAGTCAGTGGTGAGGTGCAGGTGGGGGGGGGGGGTCATGTGCACGCACTGTCAAGAGCCATTTCCAGTAAAGAAGCACACCTGCACACGTCCAATGCATAGAGGATAGCAAAGTGCATCCATTTTATCCGAATAGCCTTGTTGGAATGCCTTGAATAGGTTTCACGTTAGGGAAATTTGGCTTGAAGCAGGGAATTAAAAAATATTTTTTGAAAAAAAGCAAAACAAATTCAAGCTTGGGTTTTTTGGAAGGAACCATTACCCGATTATTGTCCTCGATGAGCTCTATAACATAGTATGCTTACTTGTCCGGAAAATTCTGTTGTTGCTTGAAACAGAGACCTAAAGCAAAATTTTCGCGTTCGAGGAATTATTGTCCGCGACACTGTGACGCGGCCATTTTCGGACTTTTTTTTGGGAAAAGATTTTTTTAAAATAATAAGTATTTTCCAGAAAGCGCAATGTGTGGGTTGTAGTGGTGAGCTCTATCACCACATGCGATCTAATCATTTTTTCATCTTCGTTTTATCCGAAAATGAGAGATGAAAAAAGAAAGGCGGGTTGTCCGCAACTTTTTGGCGGTCACTGTAGGTGTTATCAAGTACAGAGGCGCGAGGAAGTCTGGAGCTCCTCAGGTGCTTCCATAAGCAGAAGCGGCAAGCCTTTGCTGCCTCCTGCCCGACTGCCGAAATACGACGAGGCCTTGGGAACTCCTGGGCCGCCGCCGGTGCTACTTATATGGCATCTTACATTGCTCATCTTGGCGATTTAGCCCGAGAAGAGAGCGAGCTTTTTCAGTGTTCTTAATAAATGACAAGTACAGGTCTTGATGAAAGTGAGCAAGTGCGAAGAGTATCTAGAATGGTCGTGGAAACAGAAGCGAGTCGATAACAAAAGGACAGAATGCAGATTCGTAGCTACTCAGTGCTGACACGTTCGCACCCGTCAGATGGTCAAGCCATTAGCAGGGGCGCTATGTATCAATCGCACGATCGTGAGATCGTGTGCTCGCTAACGTTGCAAACCATGCCCATGATCAGGTGCCAGCACACGATCTTGCCACAAGATCGTGTAGCAGCGCACGATCTGTCGAGATCGTGTGTTGCACATGAGACGTTAGAAAATGTGTCGTGTTCAACCACGGCCATTGTTTTCGCATGCATATTTTCGCATAGGATCGATCATAATACTCCACTAATCCGCGATCCTTGTAATTTCGCGATTCCTTGGAATCTGCAGTGACTTTCATTTCCAGCCAATTGTGCGCAATTATGTTTAGAACCTTGAAGAAAGCTCTGATGGAAAATTTTTTTTGCATAGCAAGAATTGGAGCTTTGTAGCTGCTGCACTATGAGCTGGTTCTTGTGGTATGAGCCTACAAAAAGAACTGGTGGACATCTTGTAGACCTTTTTCATGCACACCATCTTGCGAGGTTCGTTTTCCGGGAAATGTACGCATCCAAAATGTTCAGGTTCAGTGTGACAAAAACTTCTAATTAGGAAAACCGTTTAATCTTTTGAATTATCCTTTCCTAGCTCGCCATCCTTTCCTAGCTCGTGATTCCCTTTCGTTTAGCATGGACTATGCAATGTCACGTCTTTCATCATACCTGCAGCGTATCGCCATCCTTGGTCCTATTCCTTACTCGTTACTTCAACAAATGACAAACAACATAGTGATTCATGTATTTTCACCCGATTGTAGCGGGTATCGTTTGTGGGCTAGTCGATAGCTAATTTTTCTTCACTTATAAATAAGAGCGATATCTCGCTACCAAAATCGCGCCGCTTCGGAGGGGCCAGCCTATTGCTAACTACAATTGTGTGATCGGGCCTAGTCCTTACCGGTCTTGGACCACTGGATACCCTCCTTCGGGATGGAGCGTGGGCCACTAGTCATTTTAATGCATCAAAATCCGAGAAACAAAAGTGATTTTCTGCGGCTACATAAAAGAAAAAGGCCCTAGAAATTCCATAATGATGTCAAATCAAACGTCAGCAAACTTTTATTCATTGCTTTTGCAAACTCAGTGGGTTTACAACATCGGTAACGTTCATTCACAGAAACCTTATGTGGTTCCTCTTTTGTATTCCAAACTGTTAATCAAAGATCAAACAAAGTTAAATTCTTTATCCCCATTAGAAAAAATTATGATGTGTAGAGCACGAAAAAGAGTAAAAGATGGTAAAAAACTGAATCATATTAAGCTCAATTGTCGCACTTCTCAGAGATTTGTTCATGGGTTCTTGTCGCTTTCAACAGGCAGGCATGCCACGAGAACCAGCCAATCGCCCTATCTTGCTGTAGGATCGAGGAGGAACGTGCTCAATCATGATGGTATAATGCATCGTACTGTACCTGCAAAATGCTACATTTTAACCAAGCCAGATTCCGGCTAATTAGAAAGTGTGACCGCTGTTTTGAGGCAAACGCTGCCGGAAGCCGCAAACGATATTCGTTGAGCTTGTCCCGTGGCACAACAAATTAGCACCTAATCGACAGCAGTTTTCATTACTTATTGCAAAAATTTCAAGTAATGAGTGAAGCATTCTAGATTTCAAAACTGACCTATTCCAATCAAGAAAGCATGGCTATGTAAATGAATTTAGGCTCCATGCATAGAAGAAATAATCATGGTTTAAAAGTACTATTAGGGTGAACGGTAAAAAATGGGACACCTTGAGAATAATTGCAGATTTCTCAAGGAAGAAAAGTGACTGAACTTTCCAATTTTGATGGATATTAGAATAAATTATTCTCTTTCAGATAGCACCTATATAAGGTCATTTAAATAATTGATAATTTTTATACTTGCTAAAATGCAAAGTTAGTTACTTCGAGAAATTATGAAGTATGAGCAGTATCGGCGCAGTGAAACATATGAGACCACCCAAAGTACCACTGCTGGAGTGAGTGGTGGGACAGTCACCAAACCCACGACGGCTTGATGGCTTTAACTCTCAATGTCAGGAGATATGCCCATTAACAGCTTCGAGAATAAAGATACGCGTTATTCAATTCTTTGCAGGTAAACGCATATTTTCTAGGTATCGTCTGATAGATCTTTTTACGCTCTATTCATCCATATGCAGCTTACTTCAGATTTTATCTATCTTCGGAAAATATAGGGCAAAACATGATTTTTTGGTTTTTTGTTGCGCCAAAAATAGCTATTTTTCAGGTTTTTTCGAATTTTTTTTCTGAAATTGATAAAAAATCTCATGCATTTAATGTATCGTTCGAAAGAGCATGAAGAGCTCTTTCGAATGGTATGTCATTTGCTTTACGACTTTACGGTATAACAGCGCAAGATTGAGGATTGTGCAAAAAACCCTGTTCGAGTTCTTCACGGCGCCACGTGTAGGGTAGTGAAAGAGGAGCGTTAACGCGTTGTCAGAATAATAAGCGAAGGTCGCCCATGTAAGCGACGTTTAAGTTGCCGCTTACTTGCTGTTGCCCGAAACAAAAAATTCCAAAATGTAATGAAAATCAGGCTGTCCCATTTTTTACCGTTCACCCTAATAATAACCGATATAGAAATCGCCATGTAGTTTCTGAAATGATGAAAAGTCATAACATGAGAACCATGAGTGCAATGAAAATTTGGAAAGATCATAGTGAATCTCGACATGTTTACTGAAAATGAGGACAATCGGAGAGCCTTCGCCAATGTTCAAAAATTTTGAGAGAAATCATATGCACAAATGTCGACCGACCTTAAAGGCATGGCAACATAGCCATTCGCTTGCACTGCGTGTGGAAGACAAAGGAAAGTCTTAGGCAAAGCGGTGCACTTCTAAAGAAAAATGAGAACACTCTCTTCTCCATCAGTGTAAGCGAATGACAGGCGAGCGAAAAGGCCAAATTCATGAGGAAAGAAGAAAGAAAGTGATGTGTAAGCCTATCGAAAGCCTCGGACGGAGTTGACGCAGTTTCATCGTCGCGATTTATCGCGACTTGAATCTCGGTTGTGATAACTTTCCAACACGACTAATCGTGACTAATATCACAACCGAAATACAAGAAGATCGGGCATGCAATGAAATCGTAACACTTGTATTCGCGATGAATCGCGACGATGAAATCGCGCAAACTCTGTTCGAGATCAATGCACCCCAATCAATATCTCTCTAAGTTACGATTGAAGATGTACAAGCCATGTAAAGTCTCAAAACAGTAAACAAAAGTCTTTGAAATAAAGCGCTTACCAGATTTGAGCAATCTTCACTATCGCATGTCGCATGAAGAAATAGTCGTCGCTACAGAAGGAAAACTGCAAGTAACTACCTAACCTTGTAAAAGTGTGCGAAAATCAAATACGGCAAGTGAAATGTAAACAGCAAAATCTAAATTTTTGCACTCACCTGCTGACAGTCTTCTTTATCCACGCAGAAACTTCACCCAGTTCATGAATTCGCAGACTGGACTTGGGTTGCTCGAGAGTGAAGTACATTTCATATCACTTTTCATTGGTTCGAGATTGTATATGCCATACCTGAAATAGCAAGAATTTTACTGAGTCTCGGAAAGCCGAGAATGAGCTGGATTAATACGCACAAAAAGCTGTTTGGTAGTCAAGCTCATAGCACATTACAATCAAGCAAGTCACAATCTTTGACACAACTGAAATTACGACGTGAAATTTAAAAATGAAAAATAAGAAGCTTTAGAGAATCACGACGTCGGCCCATACAACCTATTCAAATTGGATCCCACCACCCTTCATTTCAAAGACTAAAAAAACTTTTTTTGAGCCGCCCATAATCGATTATTGTAAAACGTAGTGATCGTAAGTACAATAATATTCATTGATTATGGGTGGCAAAAGAAAAAGGAGCAAATTTCACGCGAAAAGAGCCGTAACACACGGAAAAGGACGTGGAATAAATGTGCGGCGTCACTTCGCGTTGACACCAGCACGGTCACTCGCTATGCGCCAGTCCGGGTTCTTGACGCACACGGGACACCGCAGATCGTGTACTTACACGATCTTGCGCACACATTGATACATCGCGTAGATCGTGTGCTGGTTCAAGATCGTGTAATTGCCAGATCTCGAACCAGCACACGATCCTGCGATTGATACATAGCACCCCAGATCGCATTGACCATACCAGGCGCCAGGCAGCTTTGAGTTCAGATTCTAGTGCGTTCCATGAATCGATAGTATATATGATTGAGTTGATCACTCAATTTGCTTTTTGATTTGGTAGCATATATTTGGATTATCAATACTCATAGTATGTGCCTTCTTCGCAGCATACATCACTACTAAAGCTGAGCTCTCCTGGTTACTCAAGCTTCCCGGTTCCATCCTATATGTTGGTGATTATTTTATTGGAGATTTTTCGTAGCTGTTCCGTCTCTTTGACGGTTGACATAATTTCAAAAAACTCTTCAAAAACTACAGAATTTGCACGAAAAACTTCCTTCGAACGAGCATATGTTTGTGATGAAACCCGAAATATTCTACTCTTCTTTCGCCACATTCTTCTTTTTTCGATGATAGTGATGTCTGTTGGTCCGTTTCTCCCATCCATTTCACTGTCGTGATGCCTGCGCTTCACTGTATTTCTTTATTTTGACTAGCGACCCTACGGGTCGCTAGCAAGTGGGTTGGGGCAGATACATTCGAAGCTGCAGCATTCTTGCGACTATGAGTAACAACAAACAGATCTATCAATTTGACGATTTTCTTCACCTAATATGATAAAACAGGAGTTCGAGACTGTTGCCACAACACCGTACTTTTAACGAAACAGGCATTAAGCAATGATTGGATAGCTATAATTCAACCTTTGTTGTTCTTACTGCAAAAGCATCTTAGCAAGACATTCAGGAACTAATTTTACGTATTTCGTGTGTTCTTTGTTCGTAAAATCTGGCATTTGACAAACCTGCGTGGCATGAAAAACTTCAAGTTACTCTCACATTCTGAAGACTGCCGCTAAAATATTCTCTATAACAGTATCCCGCCTCAGTCATCATTGAGCAGTCATTTAGCCAAAATCTGCTCACTGCTGGGTGTGAAATTGGGATTACTTAATGTGGTACTCCTTAGAGACGAGGCTTTTCGGACATTCATAACAAGTGTCCAGCGAGATCAAAGTGTACAATTTGCAGCTTCGGAAGGTTAAATAGAATTACTTCAAACTATTTGAAAAACTCATGAAAAGCTGCGATAGAAATTTCGTTGAACGTGCATTGTCGTAGAAATTGTCAGGTCTTTTTCAACAAGAAAAAGGTTTGCACATTTGATCGGGGAGCACGACAGTGTTTTCCTAAAGTTCCAGCGATTGTCAGGAATTCAAAGGATTAAACTCAGAGACCTTCTAGCGCGAAACTCTCTTCCCTAGAATTACATACAGTGCAAAGAATTTCCCTTTTCGTCGCAATGCTTTCTGCCAAAGTGACGCCCCCCCCCCCTCCCCCTCCCCAAATTCCAGGAAATGCATAAGATTTCCTTCTTTGAGGCATCTCTCTAGAAGTGAGGCGGAAGCCTCCAAACACCTCGCTTCCCCTTTCAGAAGCACCGCCATTTCTGCTACATCCTGAAATTCTTTGCAGTGAATCCGATGCCTTTGACATTCCCAGGTTTCCCTCCAGAGACCTCAGTATTCTACCAGAAGTACGAGTATAATTTTACATCCTCAAAAGTCCTTGCAAAAAAAACCGTTACAGAGTGAAGCGAAACCCTTAGACACCCCTTTTTTAAGAAAACTATACGGATTTTATTCAAAATTAAAAACTCTGCACAGTGAATCTTCTAAGTCAAATGATGCGGACCCTCCCTCTCACCCTCCTCCCTTGGATTCCATGCAAAGAGGATCTCTTAAAGCTTCTCTTTAGATGTGACGCTAAACGCTTCAGACCCCCTTCAGTTTTATTCTCAGCCGCCATTTGTCTCACAATCACTATAGTAATTCAATTCCTTTATTCCTATGCTATCTGAGGCAAGAAAACAAAGCCCCTCAGATACCCTCCAGTTCTCTTACCAAGAAAGCAAGAATTACTTCCAAAGTCCATACAGTGTGTCAAAACGCTTTTTACACTTGAAGGCCCCCTACCAGATGTATGTGTATCAAACTTCTGCTGTGAAACTCCACATGTGCAAAGAGTTTTACTTTTACATCAAGATTTCTCGCTGGAAGTAAAGCGGTTTACAGCCTGCAATTCCATTTAGTGCAAAGATTCTCAAATTCTGGAGCTTCGCTCTAGTGACGCCGAAAAACCTAGACAATCCTTGGTTTTCTCTTTCAAACGTGTCTCCTTTTCTTCCACATCCTAAAGATGTTGCGGTACACCCAACGTCATCAACGCTTCGAGAATTTCCTCCAGAGGAGATGCGGGATCTCAAGTACCTCAATCTCCCATCAAAAGTACTGGCATCTCTTACCAATCTTTGAAAACCTTTGCATCTCCAGAAGTGACGGAATCCGTCAAGACACGCCTTAGTTCCCCTATTACAAGTAGAGGGATTTCACGAATCTCTGTTTGTTTATGTAGTAACGAATATCTTCAACACTCATAGGCCCTGGAGTTAAGAGCGCCTTGGTCACCCTTCAGATCCTCTGGCGAAACAATCCTTACTTTTGCGAATCGAAATTCCTACCGGGACTGTACATTCCCGAAAAATCCACAGTGAACCCACAGTAACGAATGTCATCAACACCTTAAGGCCTCCATGCCAGAAATGACGCATAAGTTCTCAGTCATCTTCAAAGCTCTCCTTGCAGATAAATTGCAATTTAGTCACAACCATTTTCCGTACAACAGAACAAGCGGATATGCTTCCACTTCGGCTTCGCTTCAAAAGTGATGCAACCCGCATACAGTTTTCGCCTCCCAAAAATCTAGTAAGAGCCGTTATTCCTTTCAACAAAAATCCAAAATAATAGATTGGTACGAGAATAATGTCTTGTTTTTCTAGGCCTACTTTCCGAAAACTTTTTTCTTTCAAAATTTCTTTTTTGGTATAAATTTCGCACAATATTGGGAAGCTTTCTTCATGTACTTTCCAACAGTGATGAGATTAAGCTTCTACCTCATTTGTGAGTATTTCACCAGCATCTCGCACAACTGCACTTGTCGAAATTTCATTGCTTAAACTTCCTTGGCCATAATTCATTCGTAAACGAACGAATTCTATTGAAAACATAGCATCTGTAGGGGATAAATGTTGCTTACCCAGGGCATGGGTTCAAGTAGGTTTCTCGAGAATATCTGGATTGAGAAATCGACGCCCCCAACATAAATACATGCTGCTGGCATTCTCCTGGTCAAAAATTTCCCATGATAAGGTAATCGAAAAAGTTTCGCTCATTTCTGTAAGCTTGAGATTAGTATATCTTGCCCACAATTTTTGCAGAGAAACTCAGCCATACAGTGCATGAAGAAATCTAAATTTTCGTGATGTGGGACTTTCAAACCTACCACAAACAGGCTCAAAAAGATGGACAATGTTGAAACTTTATCTTTTCTTTTCGCAGAACTCTTTTGTTGAGGTGTTTCCTGTATACTACAGGACTACAGGACAAGACACGTATACTACAGCTGCGCGCTAAGTTATGTGAGGCTTGCTGCTTCTGATATTCTTGACTATGTTCAAAAATAGGAGGACCGAACAAAGTGATAACTTTTCAAATTGAAACTTTCAAAACGAACATTATTTTTGCACCAACTTAATAAATGAGCAAGTAGTACTCACATTCAACGATTTCCAGTAGTGAGCGAGATATCTTAGTTTCAAAGTTTTAGTGTGACCGACCCTACAAACTACTCGGGTACCCGCGGGACCAAAGTTTGCAAGCGGTAGACTTTCGGGCGCAGAAGTAAAAGTTTCAAATGTCTTCGATTTTCATGCTCGGAGCAAAAATAGAATGTCAAATATCTCCGATCTGTAGGAAAAAGTATTGCGAGAAGTCTTTTGTGTAAAAGTGACCTACCCTACAAACTGTTCAGGTGCCCGCGGGACCACAGTTTGCAAGCGGTAATGTTTTTGAGGTAGAAGTAGAGTTTCTCCGATGTATTCGAATTTCATGCATGGAGCGGAAAGAATGCCAAATATCTTCGATCTGTAGAAAAAACTACTGCGAGAAGTCTTTTGTGTAAAAGTGGCCGACCCTACAGACTACTCGGGTACCCGCGGGACCACAGTTTGCAAGCGGCAATGTTCTTGAGGCAGAAATAGAGTTTTTCCAATGTCTTCGATTTTTATGCTCGGATTAGAAAACGTATTTTTCTAATGTCTTCGATCTATTTGAAGAATTATCAGGAGAGATCTTTTGTGTAAAAGTGACCTACCCAAGCGGCAATGTTCTTGAGGCAGAAGTAGAGTTTTTCCAAGGTTTTCGATTTTTATGCTCGGATTAGAAAATGGATTTTCTAATGTCTACGATCTGTAAAAAAATTCATTGCGAGAAGTCTTTTGCGTAAAAGTGACCGACCCTACAAAGTACTCGGGTACCCGCGGGACCACAGTTTGCAAGCGATAGAGTTTTGGGCGCAGAAGTACAATTTTTCCAATGTCTTCGATTTTCATGCTCGGAGCAAAAATAGAATGTCAAATATCTCCGATCTGTAAG